GTATTATATGCAGCCAGTTCGAATTGGTTAGATATGGAAACAGAAATGGCGATATTATCAACATACTTAAAATGTCGAATAGGTGGAGTAACAGGTAAGTCACTAATATAAGTCGAAAAAGATAAGCTGATAGGACAGCACCTTGAAGTACACCCGAGTGAGTGATGCGGTGGATTGTCTTAGAGTAAAAATAGATTCAAGGCATTTTTCATGATTGACGCTTGTTAAGTAAAAGACAGCGGGGCATCGAGTCGAAAGCGGAGGATTTACAGATGAAATGAACTAGAGAAGAAATGGTATCTAATGTAGAGCGGTTATGTTTGTATGCAAACTCATTAGCGTCATCAGGGGTAGTAAGGGATAGCTGAAGACGATGCAGAACTGTTCACTCCTTCAATTTCAAACAAGTGGAAATGAGAGCAATTGGTCTGAAACGCTTCACTGATGGGACCTTTGACGTTCCTTTTGAGATGGGAGTAATTCTCACGGGGTGCCAGCAGTCTGGAATAGTTCGAAGTTCGAGTGGAAGGTTAACTATTTGTGTGCAAAAATTTGAGACAGCGGCAGAGCACCGTGTTTAAGAAGGGTGGGACTTAAGTTGTCTGGACCAGGTGCGGTCGACACCTTGAGAGAACACATGTGTTTATACATCTAATCAGAGGTGATGAGATCAAACGAAGGTTGGATGTTTGGAGAACTGGAATCAGTATAACTGGGGCCTTTGTGGGACGAAGAATGAATAAATGCATTATTCAGTTTTCAATATCAATAGAGGGACTGAAAATCACTTTCTTCTGCCGGCAGAGCAGATCGATTCCACCCCACATAGATTCACAGCTCCTCGTCCCAAAAAACTGACTGGCATCAAGAGCATCCAACCGTCTTATTTCACTCTTGATCAGAAGCGATAATCGTTGCGTCTCGGCCCTCCTGCCACATTTAACTGCACGTTCCTTTTCACAGCGAAGACGTTTAAGAAAAGGTATTGATGTTCTGCCATGTTGAAGGAAGAAAGTTATCACAGGACAGCATGTGTCAAAAACACAGTTTAACACTTCTGTTAGAAATGTCACACTTGACAAACAGGTTGTGTTTAAAGGATAACAGTCGGTAACTACCTTAAGAGACGATCTAAGCAAGTTAATATTGTCTGGGGAAAGATCACGCTGACGAAACGTGATGTGTTTTGGCCGAGTAAAAGAAAAATGTCCTGAGTGTGAGTAAATCTTAGGTCTGACCAGGATCAGGTTGTGGTCACTGGTACCTGAGGGGGAGAACTGTTTGGTGGAAAAGGTGTCAGCGTGGTTTGTGATTATGTGGTCTAGATGAGAGTTTCCCGTAGTCGGTTCAATAATCAGGTCGTTGAGGTTTAGACAGAATAAATGGTGCAGGGGTGCGTGGTTAAAGTCACCAGCTATTAGATGCAAGCTATCAGCAAGAGATGAGACAATAATCGGGAGGAAATTATCATAAAATGTGTCAATTTCTGACAATCTACAGTGGGGTGCAATGTATAAGTTAGTGATGGCAATAAAAGGAAAGCGGGAGCATTTGGGGTAACAGATGACAGTCAAACAATCAACGCCATTCTGGGAATACTTTAAAAGTACTTCGGACTTGCCGCACCAATTGGAATTGATGTAAGTGATCACACCGCCTCCCAACTTCTTCCTGCACCGTTGTCTATCTTTTTTGAAGCAGACATGAACTCCTTTGTGTATATAGTCAAAACACGCATATATAGCAATTTGGGCAGATAAAATCCAGAATGTAAAGGCGGCGCGAAATAGTAGCACAGCTGTTCAATGGGCGCGCGGCGGAAGAACATTTACATCCAGTTCATTACAACACTTGGTCCCCTTTTGTCTGTTGCATCATGACCGAGATGTTAATATTTCGTTTAATCTCCTCCGACGCTGACTTAGAACAAACAGAACCACAGACAGCACACGGGATGAACGGACGCGTACAGACAAGCATGGACTTATAAATAAAAGGTCAATTCCACGGCAAGTGAACTGAGACTGTGTGAATAACTTTTGGTTGCACAAAACGGGATGGCGTAACCGGATTACCAACGACTCACTAACCGAAAAATGTTTTTTATTGCAGTTGAGTGACACTGATTTGAAAGAGGAAGCGGGATCCATTACCTATTTGGTTTTCGTGATGTGTTTTGCAACACATGACCCCGGGTTCATTGTGACTACCGGGTATGGGTTGTGTTATTACCCATTTTGACATGTTTTCAGCCATTTGTTCTGATAGGTAGATAACGGTTGGTTCTGCCTAGGTATGTGTCACCACGATTGCTGATGAACTGGTACACAGAGTGAGAGAGAAAGAACCGGCTTGCGAAGCACGTTTCCGTAAGTCTTACTCACCTCGACGCGAGTAAGAGCGACAAACCGGAAGAGAGGAGCAAGAAGTGTGACTCGTAGAGCTGCCTAGAACGTTTAATACACACCCTTTGGAAGGTGATCGCTTTTGAGGGCCGTAGCTTGCTTGCTAGGCGATCAACGAACCAGTCTGGATAACCGTGTCGTAGTGGTTTCCTTTCTCTGGGAATTTTATCTCATCTCGTAATGTGTCATCTAGTGAACCCAACCATTCGCAGATAGTTATTCACAGCTCGAAATTATCATAA